CAAGCTCATAAAGAATAAATGATTTCAAAAGAAAAAGAAGTTTATGCTAGTATTATTAAGTCTCAATCATACAAGTTAAATTTATCTATGAGATTGAAAATGAGGAAATGCCAAATTAGTGTGATTGATCGAATGGGGAAAAAAGGTTTAATTAAAAGAATGGGAAAAAAGGTTTAATTATTCTAGATTATTTAAGTAAGATGATATTAATCATGGGGAAAAAAGGTTTAAGATGATATTACCATTAATTATTCTAGATAGCACTAAATTATTTAAGTAAGATGATATTAAACCAAACACATTGTGATTGATCGATAACAATATTATTTGAATAATATTGCTAGTTTGGTAACAATATTATTTCAATAACATTCTAAATAACATTTAAAGAAGTGGTCACCAAATTTATTTCATAAGGATAGGCACTATGGGTCTCCTATGATGTTTTCTTGAGCTTATAATTTAACATAAATGTTTGTTTGAGTTTGGTAGTTTTTTAATTTTAATCCATTTTAAGTTCAACTTTAGAAGAAAGTGTTATTTATCTTTTTTCCCTTAAAAGGTTTATAGACATGACACAATATTGTTTAATATTTACCTCAAGTGACTATAACATAGATGCCTTTCTTACCAATAACTCTTGATTTAAAAATATTCCATCTATATGGCTTTATGCTATTATAAGTGTCACAACTGAATGCTCATTGATAGAGATATTATCCATTTCGGCTTTATAGGCCTCACAGCCTTATCCTCTTAAGGTAATCTTGGATGAGCACATTTAACATTGGAGTTCCTTATGAAACTCAAACAAGTTACACTTAAAGCATTACCTTTAATCATCAATTCATCTTTTTTGGGTATCGTTTGAAGTTTTCATTAAGAACTTTAGTTAAACATGCTTAATTTGGAACACTCACTAAATGTGCCATCTTTATGAATTGTCCACCAAGAGGACAAAATAATGAGGCATGTGAAGCCTAAATGAATAATATATCAATGAATGAAAATTCAAGCTATGATAGTTCATATATAAGTAGTACACTATTCATAAGATGGGAGCTAAGTGATATGCATGATAAAGGGTTACCCCATGGGAGTTATCTCTTTAATACGTTTAAGATGCAAGTATTATATGGTGGGAGCTACCTCCACTTTTGCTTGGTGGATGATTCTGGCTATGTATAAGGCCACAAAATTTCCCTCAAGACGAGCCTTGAATTCGATGCTACGAAGGTGCAAGCTCACCGGAGCAACCGTGTGGAACCCCCTCTACACTCCCTTGAAACCCCCTCCAAGGATCTTTGATATCAATAGGGCTGCAAACGAATCAAACCGAGCCGAGTTTGTGAATGCTCATGTTTGAGTTCGTTTATTATTAGCTTGTTCAAGTTTGGTTTGTGTTTGATTCGAGCCTTGTTGTTTGTGTTCATGCTTGGTTCGTTTAAATTAATGGTGTTTATGTTTGGTTCATGTTCGGTTCGTTTAGTGCTTATCGAGCTTTAAACAAACAAGCCTTAATAAGCTATGTTCGTGAACATGTTTAGCGAATTTTTTTACACTATCAAACAGGCACTTTTATGAACAATTCTAATGAGTATTCTTGAGCTATCAAATGAGCAAGATCATAAATAAATACATAACTATTATTTTCAAGCTACCAAATGAGCTCGTTCACGAACAAATGATCTATGATTCATCTTATATTTGTTCATGAACATCTTAAACAAAAAATCTAGCAAACATTGACAAAAGTGAAATGTCTCTTGTTCATGAACAAATTCATTCTATTGAATGTATAAAATAAAATGAAATTAAATTTATAATAAAAATAATTGTCTATTTAAAATGAAAATATGATTAATTTATATGAATATATTTATCGAGCTTATTCATGAGTTCTAAATCAAACACGAATCGAGCTTGTTCACGAGCTTCAAATGATGTTGTTCGTGAACATAAATGAACCGAACACATTAGTGTTCAAGCTTGTTTATTTAAGGATCGTGTATTAAAAATGTTGTTCAAGTTTGTTTCTTTAGTTAGTTAAACGGTCACAAACGAGCTTTAATCGAACCAAGCAACGAGTAGCTCGTCGAACGTTTGGTTCACTTGCAGCCCTAGATATTAATTTCTTAAGTGGGGAGATTTTAAGACTCTTAGGTATAATAAAACAAATATCTTAAACATTGAGATTCTTTTTTGTGTTACTGGTGAGTGTTTTGTGAGGAAATACAAAGTTAAGCATTCTCATCTTGGAGCACCCTTGGGATATGGATAAACTCATGGGAAGCTATATATGGTGGATAAATTTGTGAGGTTGGTAAATTTTTGATGGGTATGATTTTGGGTTGTGGCAATAATAGTTTGTTTGAGGCATCATTGCATCTTGTATACTAGTACATTGCATTATTCTTTGTCTTATTATATCCTATAATTTAATTCTTTCACACAATACTATTGATCTGCTTATGATACTAAAATGTGTCACAAAGGCATTAATCTTCTTCAGCATCCCAAGTCTCTGATGAACCATACTTGCATTAGTTAAAACTCCTGTTTCTATGACTTTAATATTGAGCTAATATGACCTTGGCTCAAGATCAACTTCAAGGCCTGCAATTTGAACTTGATCCAAGATGGTGCTAACCATAAGTTGGGTCCATTCCATCTTGATGTGAGCTATTCCTGGCTGATTACTTTCTACTTGGTATCGATCTTAGCTATAAGATTTTTTTTTTTTTATTCTTTATCTTCTAAGATAATCTTCTCTAACATATACATTCGTCTGTATTTGTATACATATGCAAATGTAAGTGTATAATATTTGTATACATACAATTTAAACTGATGCATGAATATGCATGCATATGCATTTGATTCAATTTGGAGTTGGCCTTTTTTTATCGTTGCTTTGTTAATTATAACTTGTTTCAAGAAAAGTGCAATTCGTTAGTAAGCTTAGATCTCAATTCTAGTTTGATTTGTTCTCAGAATTGATTTGATTATCTAGTTATCTTTAAATCAAATTAAAGATCTTACTTAACCATTATCGGAGTCATGATGAAATAGAGATGACAAGACTTCTTCATCTCTAACCTTCCTCTATTTCATTTCCTAAGAGCCCAAAAACGGTCAAGACCAATTTCTTCATTGAGAGTCAAAGGAGACTATCAAATTCAAACTTCCATCTTCTCCATTTTTCCTAATCTTTTTGCAATATCCAAAATTTGAATATGGCGAACATAAATGTTTGTTTAATGACTTGCTCCTCTTCCACAATGCATCGTGAAGGTGGTCCATTGGAGGTAAGAGCAAGGATCCTTTATGGTGTTATATATTATTGTGTGCCTTGTCTTTCTTAGGACTATTAAAAATACTTGAAACTTAAGAACTTCTTGAAAGTTTCCTTTTCTCTAAATGGGAAATGGATTTTAGTCAATTTGAGCCAGTTTTAGCTCTACTCTTAAAGTAAAATTAATTTTGAGCTTAATCTAACTCGCTTGAATATTGTTTTAAGCTAGTCTAATTAAAATCAATTATGGGTTTCATTTCTACTCAAAATCAAAGGACTCCATTTAGCAGACATATATATATTTTTTTATTTTAGGTTGAGTTTGAGGTTTCACTCCTGAATCATTTGTTTTTTATTAAGTTGAGCCAAAATCCAAACTTGGTTGATATTAACTAATATTCTTTGTTACTAATTATTTGATATTAACTAATATTCTTTTTTGCTTTAGTCATGGATGTTCTCACTAGACATTTGCAAGAGGATGTACCTTGGTGTATGCTTTTTGCTGATGATATTCTTCTTGTTGATAAGACTAGAGAGGGAGTTGAAGGTAAACTTGAATTATGGAGGTCAACTTTAGTGTCTAAAGGTTTTCGCTTGAGTAGATCTAAAACGAAATATATGGAGGTGGGAAAAAGACTTGGTTAGAAAATATTAGAAATGATCTTTCTTTATTAGATTTAAATGAGAATTTGACTTTTAACCGGACACAATGGCGAAAAAGGATTCATGTAGCCGACCCCACTTAGTGGGACAAAGGCTTGATGTTGTTGTACTAATTCTAATAGTTAATCAGAGACTCAACAAGTATGAATGTATGATCAAAATTCTTGACCGGTGACATAAATAGGTTGATGTAGCAAGGGAGCTTATTAGGGTAGTTTCTTAACATATCTCAACATTACATGCACTTAATGAGCTTCTATTTTTCATAATACTCCTAAGAATTTTCTTTGTTTTAAGCACTCAACTATAGCTTTAGATGTTATGTTTTAATGTATATCTCATTTTTTTTTGCGTAATAGATCTATGATACTTAAATCTTTCAAACCTAGGTATGAATTGGTTTTCCAACAAAGTTTAATTATAATTGACATTTCACCTCAGCTAATTTATATAATATGCTCAATTTTTATTCTTTTAATCGTAACCCCCTTATCTTTTAAAGTTTTTATCCATTATTCAACTTTTTTTAGCAGTGGTCTCATCTATCATTATTATGTCATTTGCAAATGACACACCAATTTCTTAGTAGAAATATGACAAATGAGCCTATAAAAAGTATAAAAGACAAATAGCCTAAGTAAATAAAGTAAGAAAGAAATATTAGTAATTACTTTTAAGCCATGATCTAATCTAATATTTTTAAATATTGATGAGAATGAGTAATTGCTTAATGAGTTCCATCGACTCCCTACTCTTTTAACGCCTAATATTATATAATATGTTTGTTTAAATGTTAACAATGATGAATGGAATTCATCCTAATGGGCTCCATCAACTCTCTCCATGCTAGAAAGAATTCTCCCCTGGAGAGTTGAAAATCCTAATGCTCCTTCAAAAGACTTAAAAGTCACGCTTTTCATGTGTCATTTATATATGACCTGATGTTGGACATCAAAACTAATGAACTGAACATCTATGAATGTTAGATGGCCCAAGACCAACCCCATCAATGATATTTGACCAGTCTCATATTGTATAGGGATTGATGGTTGGACATGCATGGGCACTGCAAGAATGGATGAAGACCCTTTGGTTGAATAAACACTTGGTGGCTTGAATTTAGCATGCTAAGGCAAGTTATCTTTCATATTTGAAGCTGGATCAACATGAATGCTATGTGGTAAATGAAGCATATAAGCATTAAGATCAACCTTTCTAACTATCTTGTAATGGTTTCCTCTTGTTGAAGTGCAATAAGCTAGTAGGATCGATGTAATACTCATATTAGTATCCTTATCTCAATTATAGGATCCGCAAAGGACAATCATAAATGAAAACATAATCTACCTCATGTCAATAGGCTCCATTAACTCCCTCCAAGCTAAAAGGTCTCTCCTTTGTAGAGCTAAAGTCCTAGCAGTCCTTCAAAAGACTTAGAGAAGACGCCTAACTCTTCTTGTATCATTTAATTGTGACCATCAATGCAAATGAAATAGACATCTTTGAATTCCAGATGGCTGAAGGCCAACATCATTGATCACTATTTGATCAACCTCCTATTTAGTTGGGATAGGTGTGGATAGGCTAGAGCTTTGCTAAAATGGAATTAGACTTTGGGTTGAATAAACACTTGGTGGCTTGATTTTACCAAGCTATGAAACCAAGTCAACTTTCATGTTGAAAGTAGGATCAACATGAACCTTAAGTGACCAAGGAAGCATGTAAGCATTAATATCAGGCTTTCTAATAATGTTGTAAGATCTAATGGTTTTCTTAGGCATTTTTTTTTGGCGGAGTGCAATAAGCAAATGGGACAAAATTATATTCTTCATGATTAGTCTTATCCCAACTATTTGGGATCGACATCGGACATATATAAATCAGAACATGATATGTCTTATTGGGTTTCAAATATAGACTTAGCTTGTTTATGCAATTCATTGTGTTTGATGAAGTCCTTATGAATTTTTTAGTTTAAGGAGTTAAGCATGTTTGTTGAGGTACTTATAAATTGGTAATTAAGAGTTAAGCATTGATGAAGTCGTTGTAACAAGTTTCTAATTTAAGAAAGTAAGAACAAAATACGAAATTGGCACTAGATTGAATGCATATACAAAATGATTTCTTTAGGTAATCCTTCATGTGGTTCTAAGTACTACAATAGATACGAGTTTCATATAATCTAATTCAAATGAAAATTTTGATTAGATTCAAATTCATATTTAGATTCATTATCCAGCTCAAATTCAAATTTAATCTAAATAAGATTTTGATTAAAATTCTTAGGTATGTTTTTGATAAATTTAACTTCTTAGTTGATTGACCTAATTAGAAATTGCACCAAGAAGATTCCTTTTTCATGTTTTTGGTCAAGAGAAAATGAGGACTTAATTTTTTTAAAGATTTCTCATAATTCCTTTGAGCTTCTCACCTGTAGATTTAGCTATATGCTCGGTTGTAAGCTCAAGGTATTACAATTCATTGATGCTTTTTGTAAAGCATGTACTTCTTATTCCATGTAGTTATAGGATATTTATGAGAATTTTATATCATTCTCAAATATATGTGAAGCTTCTTCAGTCAATCTACTAATTTCAACTTGCCTAATATGTTAGGTTATCGAGACATACAGTGTTGATTAGAGAAATCTTCTAATTATTTTAAGCTAGAAAACTTATAGGTTTGTAGAATTTCCAAATGTAAAAACAGCATCTTTAATTCTTTGTTGAGCATAAGCTTAGTATTCGCCACAATAGTGATATTTATGATGTTGATTCTCATAAGATCATCTGGCGAAGTATCTTCAGTGGAAGAAGTGCAAAAATGCAAGTAGTTGGAAAATGCAATCGATATGAAATTTTTTTTACCAAACTTTTATGCTTATGACTAGATGGGCTTGCTTATACAATTTGAATTTGCCAAGCTTTCAACATAGTTCATCAAGAAGTTAAAAGACTATATCTAGGTATGGGTGTAAACGAGTAGAGTCGAGCTTGAGTTAGGTTTGACTCGAGCTCAACTTGCCAGCCAAATCTCGAGCTCGAACTCGAGTCGAGCTCAAGCTCGGCTCGTCCCACTGTAACCGAGTTTGCGAGCCGCTTGCTAGCCTTCCACAGTCTGGTCCACCTTATGTAGTTCGATCGTCTTCTTTGGTCAGGTTTAGGGGTGTAAGTGAGCCGAGTCGGCTCAAACTTGACTCATTGACGAGTTCACTGGCCAAGCTTATCTAGCTACGAGCTCGAGCTCAAACACGAGCTTGATGAGGCTCGGCTCATGAGTTCGTGATCCGGCTCGAATCACTATTACTATTTTTAAATAGTTATTATTTTCTTAAATTTGAATATTTATAAAAATAAAAATTAACTACATCATAATTAATGCAACTTTAAAAATATATATAAAATATTAATTTTATATCTTAATATGTAGCTTTTAATTGGAAAAGTCAAAAGAAGCTGCTTTGTAATAAATGTGCAGTAGCTATTTTTCAAATCTATTTGAAAAATAATAAAAAAATATATGGATCCCTCTGTTGGGTGCGTGGAAGAAGATTTGGAATTCTGGATACAAGCGGAAGGCGGATCGAACTGCGTAAGAAGATCAAATTACGGAAGGTAGATCGAACTGCAGAAAGCTTGCGAGTGCGGTTACAATGGGATGAGCTGAGCTCGAGCTTGCCATCCGAGCTTGAGTTCTAGCTCTCCATTCGAGCTTGAGTTTGAGTTCGAGATTTGGCTGGCAAGTCGAGCTCGAGTTAGGTTTGACTTGAATTCGACTTGAATCATTACACCCCTAGTCCAGTTCGCCTTCCATCCGTATCCTGAATTCTTGATCTTCTTCTATGCTCTCAGTAGAGGGAGCATGAGCTCGTTAACGAGTCGAGCTCAAGCCGGCTTGCGAGCCGTTACACCCCTATATCTAGGTCAAGTGTTTAACTATATGCTAGTAATATGATGTTGTAGTTGTGGAATGAACAAATTTTAATTAAGGGATTTGAGGGTGTGATTGGACTGGATAACAAACACTCCAATTACAACTCGCAAAAAGTGATAGTGCTCTCCTTGACTTAAGCTTAGGATTATATATGAAACAAATGCTTTTGCTCATGCATGTGAACTTTCCTATGCTAACTCCTAAGATTTTTACTCAATTAGCATAACAAAAACCCAATTAACGGGGATCAAATGCCAATTCAAAGAACAAATGAACTGAAAATATTCAGGTACATATAGACGATGTGTATGGGTTGCAAGAGGTGGTTGACAGAGATGCCAAGTGTCTCGGGTGGCCTAAGGCAAATAAGAGGAGACCTGGGTGCATCCCCTTGGTGGTTCAGATATCATCCAAATGTTAGTAGAAGGTCTGGGAGTGTTGATACAATGAAAGGGTTGGAAATGCTAGGTTTCAGCACACAGTGGTCTTTGGAAGGGGCTTGCATTCAGGAGGAAGCTGAAAGGTGAAATCAGGACCGTTCACAGGAATTGGGAAGTTAGAACTTCTTTTGATGCTATCTTGGATCATCCTTGAAAGCGTATGATCTAAAACCATGGTAATACTAAACTCCTTAGTTTCCTACGGGTTTAATTGGGTTTGCTTCCCTTACTTGTTTAGATGGGTGTACATGTATAGCTGGGGATAAATTTATTGGTTTAGGAGGGAGGATATAATTGGGTTGTTTGATAGGATAGCTTGTTTCTAAAAAGACAGAATTGAGTAGTCGCAACAACTTTTTATGTTCATGCAAAAATTCAAAGTGAAATTCATTTTTTTGAAGTTCTAATTCAAAATTTGAAAACTAGACTTTCTTTTGGGTAAGTTTTGATTTTTTTTTTTACTTGTATTTTAGTCTGTTGCAATCAATGCTAAAGAACGGTAGTGGGATTTCATTTTTTAGTGGCGGTTAGAATTTCATTTATTTTGTGGAGATTGGGTTGGCGGATGAATGGAGGAATGCTGACGATTTTCAGGAAATGTCAGCATGATGCAGGATTCAGCATATAACAGTGATCTTGAGCAGCAACACAAACAAGGTGTAAGAGAGGTAGAAAAATTGAATTTTTTCTTTGTATCCAATGCATGTCAGAGAAGATCAGGTAAAAGAATAACAAAAGAAGGAAAATTGGAACTTTTTGAAGGATGAAAGTGATGTTGGTATGGAGGCAGATGGCTGGATAACACCAGGGACAGCAAGCTGTCAATGCAGGAAATAATACAGAGGTAATGTAATTTTTTGCAATGTTGCAGTGAAATGAGTGCAAGAACAGCAGGAAAAGAGTAGAATGGATGACCGAAATAAAAAAAAGTCACACTATTCCGCTGCAAAAGTGCCATATAAGTACTAAGGTAATTCTAATGTGGTCCTGATACCAAGTGATTATTAGTAGCATATTTGAAGAGTGGAAAAAGATGGAAAATGCCGGGGAAAGGGTGGATGATGAATGCAAAAAGGAAGAAATTATCGAAGAAATTATAAACTCTTAGAGGACGATGGAGGGCGTCACATGAACTCCAAGACTGGCTTCTTTGCTAGCCAAATTCTCCAAGGAAAGGAAAAAATATATTGCATTCATCAAATTTAGATCTAATTGGTTCTTGCAAGGGTTATTTATAGAGATAATATGGTCTAACTATTGCTTAATGGCTACGATGCTTATTAGATGTTGAAAAAAGATTTCTATCAAAAAAATAAATAAAGTAAATGCCTTCAACCAATTAAGAAAAAAAACAAACATTATTGAAATCTTTTACTGCCAAATCTAATTTGATATCATGTAGGATATCAGTTATGATGATGAATGGCTCGGTGAGCTACATCAAGGGATCTATGATTGTTATAGAACTATTAAGGGGAAAAGATAAACATTTTTATATACATAAATGTGGCCCATATGTAGTTACACTTATTTTGATCAAAATTTTTATTCTATTTTTACATGTACAGGTTTTGGTTGTTATTTGAAATGCTTTCACTATTCTTTGATTAAGTTTGACATCTATCGAGCTACTCCTTCCAAAGGTTCTATTTAATGTTAATTCATCCATCAGCTAATAAGGAATGCAGGTTGGAAAAAAAAGCATATTTATATGCAATTTTTTTCTTTTAATAATTACACACGTTTGACCTCTATGCCT